ATCATCGACCACAAACTGAAATAGAGGAATACCATTTCTGATGGTAAGCTGAAAAAGAGCTCGGGTTCTTCTCGATGTATCCTGCTTCTTTTCATCTTGAAGCGGTAACTCGCTGTTGGTTGGCTTTGGATTGGAAGAACTTGATCTTGCTTTTGATGGAAGAACATTTTCAGAGCCTTTGGTTTTCAGTAAAGGGTCAAGAAGCCGTCTTAGAGGGCTAACTCGAGATCCACAGTGAACGTTCTGCTTCTCGGGACAGACTGAACCATCAAATCTCATAGAATCAGATTTGATGGTATCATCAAAAGAACTCAAAGGTTGGCCAGATGAATCTTCTTTGAAGGTGAAACTTCTGGTGAGACGGCCAAAGCTAAAACTAGAGCGCTTACTCGGTGATGGGTATCGGTTCTTTCTGGATTCATCTTCGGGCATTTCTTCATCAAATATCCTCGAAGCTGTCTTTGAAGGCCTTTTCCCACCAAAACGTTCCTTTTTACTAGAAAGATCAACACCAAGAGGCAACACCATATCTTTGGAATGGTCGAAAGAGAGTGGACAGGACCGAGGAATCTGAGATCTCGATCCTAAAGAGATCTCGATTCCATCAGAAAAGTCGTGAGAGCGGGTGACCTCCCTTGATACTCTAATGTTATCATCCAGTGACATTTGCGGTTCACCGGAAAGAGTGCTTCCGGACTTTTTTCTTKATCGAAGCAGAACAATGTTGCCGCATTGATGATTCTCTTGCTTCTCCTCTCCAACCAACTTCTCAATACATTGTTTCCCACTTTCTTTAGCTCTTTCTCTTGCTTCTTGTGTATGTATCTCCCCTGCTCTCTTCTGAGTCTCCTTATCCCGGAGACTAGACCCCTCAGAGTTTCCCATTTCAGACAAGAAACCGGAAGTGGATTCCCGATATGAACGAGATCTTCTACTCTTCCCAGGAGGATTCAGTCCCTCATAATCTCTACCAGATGAACTAGCAATTTCTTGCTTATTTAATGAATCCCTAGAAGCCAACTCAGGTTCCAAAGTGCATCTAACTCCGTGAACAGAATGTTGAATATCCCGTGAAGCTTTACCTTTACACCTATGAGAGTCATTGGGAACTACTTTTCTCGATCTTTCACCGCTTTTTGCTCGACCATGCTTCTTCCATTTCTCTAGACGTCCCCAATCCAAGACTCCAACATTCAAAACATTACTTTGAACACTCTCTTCATTTCTCTCCATACCTTGTAGGTAACCTGGCAATTTCGACATGTATTTCACAAGCTCATCACTCTCATTGACACATTCTTTTCGACTATGGCTCGAACGTTTCGTTCTAACCCGAATCTCATTCACATCTGAGTTTCTTTGGCTCTGTTTCAGAAAACCTCTGAGCTCAGTTCTTGTAGCCATTTTTCATCTACAAAACAAAACACAAAATATTGCAAAGAAACTTTCACTATGATTACTAAATTCGAAGCAAACATTATTCAATCTCTACTTTCGACCTCCATAGTTCTCTGATTTTAAGATAATCCAAACCAATTCATGCTTTTGTGTTTTCTCTCTTATTTTCCCGGGAAAGAAACAGAGAGAGAAAAACGAAACATTACCAACACAAGAATCTACGAAAAACCCACCAACATTTCACGATTTCATCGATCATCAAAATCGAAGAAGAAGAAGCAAAAAGGGAACGTGAAGTAGAAGCAAAATCGAGCAGCGGAAATCGAAGCTTCAATCTTTCGATTAACGAAAATCGAGAAAGTTTGTGATTTGAGAGAAGGAATCGAGAAAAGTTGCAGAGAA